TTAGCGAATTCAGGGGGGGTAGCTAGGAATTTTCAAAGGAGATGTTATGAAAAATAACAGCCTTAATTGAAAAATAAATCATGAATATAATTATGAAAAAATATACCATATTTGTCTACAATAATATTTATATTTTAAAAACTGATTTATAATGTTTAATTATTACATTCATCTTAATCGATGACTTGTAATACTTAGTTCACGTATTGCAACTTTTATTGACACTAATATATCATGATGTATATTCATAACTGCCAAATCATATAGATGATTTTTACCATTAGTAGGTACTTCGTAAATATGATTTCAAATATCAAAGTGTTGAAAAAGATGTCGAAACGAAAACGAAATAGCTGGATGCAGATGTGATCGGCAAAGTGGCTAATATAATTAAAAGTAATGGTTGTAATTATGTAAATAGTTGGAAATACCTATATCTTCGTTGCAATTACTTAACGCTTTTATTGTGTTGGATGTTTCCTTTTTTATTTGTAGATGCCATATTATGAATTCACTCATTGGAGTTATTTCATCTACATCAATATCTGATTGATATGTTTATAGAAAATCTTTAAATTTAATTTCGTTAAATTCACTTGGATTTATTAAACCTCGTACATTGGCGCAACTAGGGGGGGCGCAATAGGATTTTTATCACCCCTGAGTTCAAATGTAGTACTCCTGTTTTTTTTCAGATGTATATAATCTATAGTAATTACTATATAATAGTAATTACATATAGATTATTTATAGTAATTACTATATAATAGTAATTACATATAGAGTATATATCTGAAAAAAAAAACAGAAGAGCTACATTTGAACTCAGGGGTGCTAAAAACCCTATTGCGCCCCCCTAGTTACGCCTATGTACGAGGTTTAATAAATCCAAGTGAATTTAACGAAATTAAATTTAAAGATCTTCTATAATATCCAAATATTTGAAGACTAGTTGAACACTCTAATCTACCCTATGGCCTCGTACCATATTACGGACCATCAAAAGGTTAAATGTTAAAAAATGTACAACGATAAGGGGCCTCAAGATTTTGATTTGCACATGGGCCTCGAGTAGTTCAGTTACGGCACTATTAGTAACAAACTTTTCATAATTCATCAATCTTACATAACGTTGTTTAAAAAAATTATCTAAACACAGTGTCGGCCTGGCTCTAAAGAGCCCAGGTAGGATTAACCTAATCTAACCCCCATACTACAACATTTATTTATTACTCGTATATTGAAATTAAATATATCTTAAATATGTAAAATGGTCATTAAAATGTATACATATAGATTCTATATTTGTTATTTTAAATAAAAAAAGAATAAAGTTAAAAAATTCTCTTAATTTAAATTTACCGTTAAGTATTCAACTTTTATAAAAAAAAACTATGCATGTATAAAATAAATACATTTAATAATATATATTATATCATATGAAAAGTCTTGTCGTTTCTTTTGACGATTTTTCTACGTCATCTGTTAGTTTTATTTTATCTACATTTAAAGTAATATCTTTTTCAATAGCCATAAGCATTAATGGTTTTAAATGTTGCTGATCGAGTGACGATCTTAATTTTGTTCTTATTACTTTAAACTTAGAAAATATTCTTTCACAAGAGACTTGAGTTTATGGCAATAGCATTATGTATTTAAAAACCTGATTCAAATTGTTGTACATACCATAATGACAAGATAGTTGGGTAATAATTTTAAAAGCACATGCTATACATTTCCAACAGGTATTACGATTTATCGAATCAAGTTCATCTTCTGAATCATATATCACTTCATCTATAATATAACCTTCACCATCATTATTGTTCATTATATCATGTTTTTTTTGGAATAATATTAAAATAATAAAAAGCAAATTGTTTCTATTTAAGTAATACAGTATCTCTATTAACATCAGATCACTTTGTTACAGTTATCAAGATATCCATAGCATATTATTCAAACTTTTCGATGTATTCGTATATTTTTGGATCTAACCATTTACATTCTTTAATATATTTTCATTTGGAATTAATCGTTCTTCAATACTATTTAATATCAAGATCATTCATCCATAATAATTATAATTTATATTTATCGAACTACAGCACAATTATAAAACCTGACTAAGATAATAAGAAGTACGATTTACTTATTCTAACTATAGATTTAAAAATTAAAAGTTAATATACTTTACGACCATGTTTTCCTCGTAATTATTATATCCAACCGTTTCGTTGCATTTAAATAAACATATAAAAAAAAAAAAGACGGGGGCCCAGGCAGCGATTGCTGCCTAGCTGCCTTGGCCAGGCCGACACTGTCTAAACATAGTATGTGGTGGAAAATAATTTTCTAAAATTTGGGATTAATTACCAAAAATAAGACAAAAACAATAAATAGGTATGTTAAATCAGAATGATACTTCATTTACATTTTTACAAATTATTAATTCATCATTAGTTTCAAATTTAAATTAATTTTCGCTTCTTCACTTATTAGGGTGCATCAAGAAAGGTGCAAAAAGATCAGTTGCTCTAGTTGGCAAAACCATAGACATATAATAGAACATATATATATATATATTATATTTATGTTCTATTATATGTTTATGGGCAAAACATTGATTTATCAATAACAATTGATAACAATTTATCTTTATTCAGTTTCAAGTAAAATACATTTCTGAACCGTAAAGCAGCTGAACAAAAATAATTGGTAAATCTTGAGCTACAAGTCTGAAATATATATACTTACCTACAAATCAAATAAAAAAATAATCTGTGTCTACACAATTAGTATTATATTAATGACCAATATATATTATTATATTATTATACAGGTATACCTGTATATTTTATTATATTATAACTAACATATATTACTTACTGTACTTTTTAAAATTTTTTTGGATGGCATTCATTTTTTGTAATTCAAATTGTATCATGAATTTTATATAAGCTGCATTTGCTTGAATTTCCAATTGAGTATGTGCATCATATTCATCTGACTAAAATTTTACATTTTTATCAAAACAGAATAAAATATATCTTCAATATTTATTATTTAGGTAGGTATAATAGGAACATTAAAAAATATAATGGAGCACATAATATTATAAAAAAAACATGTATCCGGAAGGTATAAAATATAAAATCTATACTATTTGATTAATAAATGGTAGAAGTGTGAAGATTCTAATATAATTAACTCGACCAAAATAATAATGATAACTGAAAAATATCTTAAAACTCAATAAATTTTACTTTAATCATTCAATATCAATCATTTTCTTCAGTACATATCACATTGACTTAACTATTGTTTTTAAAATCGAAATAAATTAAAATCTGTTTTTTTTTTTTTTAATCAACATTCTTTTAGTACTCGTATAGGTATATCAAACATTTGATTAATACTATAAGACATATTTATTAGTAGATTTATTACTACTTTTTATTTTATTTTATTATTAGAATCAAATATTTATATCTTAAATGTATGATAAATTATAGTACATAGTATAAATAAACTATGATATAAAGTACTAAAGTATGATTAATGAATTAAATTTAAATAATAAACGATTAAAATCTAACTTCACTGATTAAAAACTAACTAAACAGGGTTTTATTTTATAGAAGACAAAATTTCTCAGTATAAATTTTTCGAAAAATTACTATTGGTATGAAATCAATTATTTATTTATTCATTTATATGCTGGAAAACGAAACGGGAATTGGGATTTTATTAACACTTTGGAGGTTGGCATTAGCTTTTTTTGTTCTTATCGTGTTTACTTTTATCAATTGTTATCAAAAATCGGGAGAACTGTACCCGTCCCTATCGCTTAGACATTTTGATAACTGATAGCATGAAAAATTATTTTAAAAACTGAAAATAAACCACACACTATTTGAATTCTTCGTATTTTGCTGTCATCAATCATCTGTTTTCTGTATTTTTGTAGAATTCTAAAAAAGAGTAAGTATACTTATACCAATAATAATTTATATAACTACAAGTTAAAAAATATTGTCATTGTTATTGTGAAATTCTCAGTTATAATTGGAAATGCAGGTATATAATTTTTCCAATGTAAATTTTCTACTACCTTATTCTATGTAAGACCTATTATACATATATAGAACATATTAATATACTTTGTGACTATGTCAAATTCACGCCATGATATGTTCCTTAAAATTAAACAATTACAGATTCACGTTATTTTGCAAATAATGGCTTATATTGTACGAAATTTTTAGCTACAAAATATTTACTTTTATAAACAAAATATACAAAGTAAACCATAATATATGTGTGGTGAATTATATAATATAAGACACAATTTACTTAGTATGGTAAAGTATTTTGTGTTAGTTTTTTAATAAATAACAAATACCTATGTACAACTACCTATATAGAATTTAGCAATTAATGTTTCTGAGTATTGCAATTGTTTACAGGGTTAGTGAGAGCTTTAGTGGGAATCATAGCTGATTATTTCTTGGCCCCCCTCTTTCTTATTATTAGTCTAAGCTATAAATAATAATATAATATTTAGAACAAAACTAGTATTCAAGTTAATAAATAAATAAAAAAAACCATAATATTTGGTTTAATTATAATATTTAAAAATATAAAACCCATATCATGGCCATATAATTCTAAACAATATTATAAATAGCACACAATATGAATTAGTATTGTTTAATTTCAGCATAGCTAATTATTATTAAAATTTTTTATTTAATAGGTCTGGATGACAACTCCCAGGACTCAGGCTATTCCTGTCCTACTTTCTTGATGGCCCAATTTTTTAATAATTAGGAGGAAATCAAAATATTACTGCAAGGTGTATTAACTTATATTTTTATTGTGTAGAATAATACTAAATAAATATAAAAAACTATCAAAATTCTTTAAATTAAAATCTTCTTTAAATAAATTCAGAATAAAAAAAATTTTAAGTATTAAAAATAAAATTACAAGTCAGTCGTAACTCGTCTATACACTACACAAATCGCTAAATTCAATTGATAAACACAAATATGTTTTCACTTGTATAATCGATGGTATCGTAAGACTAATTTATTGTTTATATTTTACATCAATATAATATAAGATTACAGATATTAATCTGTAACCTTGTGTAATCTGTTATTTGTATACTAATATTTGCATATTCGGATGAAAAATTATATCTTGTCAAAAAATTTTTATTTATTCAATTTTCATTAAAATATTAAATATCACTTGTCAGTTATTCATGAAAATCCATCTTACCTAAAAAAAAAAAGCCACGGGGATCCATCCTCCATAAGAAAGTCCATGGTGAAGGAATTTATAGTTACAGGTTTATAAGTTTATAGTAATATTAATTTAAATTTCTTTGCGTTATTATTTCGATTAAAACAATATCATATTTAATAAACCTTATTTGTTAAGACATATTTATATAAATATTTAATTTTATTATTTATGTTTTAATATGTTTTGTGTTTTTCATAGCATGAATGACAAGTTGGAAAGTGATGTATCTACTGTTTTAAAATTTGTACAAGACTTTTTCATTAGCTATGATAAAAACCGTCATATCCTTCATACATTATTCCCAGAAGATGGAACTTTTATTGTATTGGGCAATCGTATGACTGGTCATTCAGCTATTCAACAGGCCATGTTAACAATGGCTACTACGACTCATAAACTCAATAGTATTGACATTCAAAGTCTTACCATGGCATTGCCAGATAACGTATCAATGTATCAAGTACTTTGTGCTGGTGATGTCGAGTTTGGAGGTGATACACATTTACATGGATTCACTGCTACTCTCCTAGTATATTTCCAGAGGCCAAATGTTTTAAATGTTGTATCTTTCAATGAACGATGCCAATGGCCTAAATTATCTTAAGACTTAACACAAACTTTTTTTATACATTAAATACTGTAAACAAAAGATTTTATTTTTTATTAATTTGTATTTTTTGTATTGTTAGCTGATCTCTGGTCATTGGATACATTATGTTATTATTTAATAAATAAAAATTACATAGAAAAAAAAATCAATCCAATTGGTACAAAAGAATGTTTTTTATTTTATAATCATTTACTCTAATGACTATTCTGTCGTTAAAAATAAAAAAAAATAATAATAATAATTATTATAGTTAAAATAATAAATAAAACAATTGTTTTGAGCGTATATTATGTACGTAAGAGACAAATAAATATTTTTTCCACAATCTAAAATATAATATCCAACAACAAAATTATGTAAAATTACTAATTTACATTGAGAATAATTATTTACAAGATAAATGAGCTTTAAATTAAATTCATACACATATATGCATGACAAGTGTATGTATACAATGAATAACATACACATAATGGAAGATAAATCACAGATAAGATAATATTACATGGATTAAAAATGCAACACAGTAATATACTAATATATACATTATAATCTAACATATTTATATAAAAATTCACAAGAATATTATGCATCAACAACTTTACTTGAATTATGATGTAAAAAAATTAAGTCCATGTACTAGATCTTGATCCATTTACAATGTGTTACTATATTAATGTGTATTCTAAAGACTATATTTTGAATATTATCAATTCAATTATGCAACATCAAAATATCAACAATAGTTAACATTACAAAAATTAAATTATATTTACAAAATTAAAACTAATATCTAACTTTAACAACATACTTATAGCATAAATTGTATAAACATGATGGTTTTACCTCATTGATATAGTTCTGAATAAATACATAAAACATCTTGTTATAATTTATTTTTTATACAATTTCCATAAACATTTTCAACTCTAATAGTATGTATGTATAATAATATATAATGTAAAATGGAATAACATATAATGTAAATATGTATAACGGGCATAACAGAACAAATAATATAATTAAATTAAATTAAATTTAAAAACTATTTTAAAAGTTTGTGGAATAAATTTAATATTTAATAACTATTAAAGAAATTTATTTATTTATAACAATGGTTCAGAATATTTTATTTTAGTAATAATATTAAATTACAGTCGTTAATACTTAGTGTCTGTTAATAAATGTGTTTTTTACTAGCTTAATAATTATTGTAATAAAATAATCAATAACCTTTATCAAAATAAAAAACAAATAATATTGAAATTTCTACAAATAAAATCAATTTTATTAAAATGAAATAAATATGATTAAAAAAACTAAATTAAAAAAAATTATTGATATATAAATAGTACACCCAAATTTGTTCACTAAAAGAATTAAACATTTTTCATTATGGCATAACATTTATTTGTACAATATTTTTATTTAAAAAAAATTAATGAAAAAAAACAGGTATTTATTATAATATAATTAATAATTAATCTTGTTTTTAGATCACAGCACATATATTCATTGTTCACGAAAAAAAAAAAACTTATGAATAAATGGAAGAATTTGACACAAATTTGGGAACATATATAATTGGAAATAAAATAATAATTTTGTTTCCAATAAAGGTCATAGGAATTCCAACATCACTTACATTTGAAACAGCTACAATATTAAAAACATGAAACAATAGCTATTCAACAAATGCATATTAATACAAAATGTGATAAAAAAAAAAAAAAAAAAAATAATACCTTAACATAAAATGATTTTTTGTAAATTATTAAGTCATGGTAAATAAATGAAAAAACTATAACAAATAGTTTTCATCGTATAGTAAAATAATTACTTATTATTTACATACAAGTATTTATATATAAAAAACTAGTGATTAAGATAATATTAATAATAAACAAGATGTTTAGGAAGTTGTCAAATTAAATTAAAATAATTCACATTTATGTAACAGAAAAAATTAATTTGTGATATCAACTACATAAATGGAGTTTTATAGGACTATTAACAAAGAACAGAAGTATTAAATAACCACAACTCTAATCTGAGTAACAGTCTTTACACGTTGAAAAACGATTTTTTTTTTTTTTAAAGGCTACTAAAAAAAATTAATAGTAATTAAAAAAATAATAAAATAACAATAACATAGCACCGACTAACCAACATACAATGGAAAAATATATATTACAAAATAACAAAGTTATACAAAAGTAACAGCCTTTGGGACAACTTAAGTATTTCATTAAGTCTTAAATAATAAAATATTTACATTAAACATTTTTCTAAAAAAGTTTAATGTATTTTTTTAAATGCATTATAAAGAAATACATTTTTTATTTTCAAACCATTATTGGATCTTCATCACTATCCAATGTATTATTGTTTGAACGTTTGGCTTTTTTTGTAGTATTCTTTAGTTTGGCTTTCCGACAACCAAGAGTAGCTAGAAAAAATTAAGATATAAAATATAGTTGCCAATAAAAGTATACTCTTATATTTTTGATCTATAACAGATTAACAAGTACAAGTAAGACTATGGAACTGGTTGAAGAGTATATTGTATCTTTAACAATTGAGAGCATAAAATCAAGCCTAAAATATCACTAATGAAGCATTTATTTTTCATAACATTCAGTAATATAAATAATTAATCACAAATATTAATAGCGTTTTCTTTTAGTACAGATTGTACAAAATTTATTTATTTTATTGTATTTTCAGTTAAATTAAAAACTTACTTGCATCTACATCATCTAAACTTCCGTCATCAGTTGATAAAAGATCGTCATCTGAATTTGTACGCCGTAAACTTGGTAAATTAGATGTTAAAAAGTCTTTCTCTTTCTTAATTTCTTGAATCTGTCCAACCAACAATTTTTCTTCTTCATCCATTTTACTTGGACCTTCAGTTGGTCCATAAACCTAAAATATTCAATACATTAGTGGTAATTTAAATTCTTTAATAAAGTACATACTTTTGAAATACGTAATGAGGACAATCTATGTGAAGCTGTGTGATGAGCAGTGTCTAAGGTATCAATGTCAGCTAATGTTGATTTGATCTTATCCATTTGATGGCTAATAATAGAGCTAATACAAAGTGTTTGTTGTTCAATATCTCTCAGCGATTCTTGTGCAGGAACTAATTTATTTGTTCTTAATACACATGGTGCAAATACAATTGCCAATGAACTAGCATTCATACGGTTAACATTTTCGTGCAATGCAACTCTGTATAAATATAATTTTATTTAAATATTGTATAACTCAAAACTATGTGAATTGAAATACCTTGCAAGATGAAAAACAAGTCTTTCCATTAGATCATAATTGACCTTTGGTAATTTTTTTAAAATATTAAACAATGTAGAAACACGATCTTCCGAGAGACTAGCAGCACGAATAAAATCGTCGTAACAATCAAATGTTAATAATGGTTCAGGCATTTCTCGTAAAAATGATTTCAATACGCTAGCTAACACATGAACCTGAAAAATAGTTTAATATACAATAGATATTTATATAATTTATAGAAACAAATATATGTGTATATATTTTTTAAAACTAAAAATACCTGATATTTCTCCAACTCAATTTTGCTTACATCACTGTTATCAATAATTTCTTTAAGTTCATTTACACGAGTGGTAAGCTGAAATAAGTTATCAAAATCACTTCTTATTTATTAGTTACTAATATATAATAAACCAATGAATTTGATTAAAAACTTACACCAGGTTTACGGTAAATGCCTTCGGTATACATTCCATACATTTCTATAATAGTAATAAGACCTTCAACAACAGCTGGCACTTTACCCATGCTTAGATCAAGTTCTCCTAAAGGACGTCCAAAAACTTTTCCTTTAATCATACTTTTTGATTGCATGTTAGAAGAGTTCATGTCTTTTAAACACTCTTGATTTGCACGAGAATAACATTTTTTATGGCACGTCAATTTACAATCTAAAAAAAAAATGTAATAATATAAATTTATTTTAAAAAAACATAATTGTTTAATGTATAATAACTGAAATAATTCTATGATATACTCACTTCGACAAACCAAACTCCTTTCAATTGGCCACAAAAAGAATGAAGTACAAACTTCACAAGCTGTAGGAATATTTATCATACTCATTTGTAACACATGTCCACCATGATTAATATGGTCTTCAGACTTCTGTTTTTTCTCTTTTTTACGTTTTGTTTTACTAGGCTTTTCTGTGTCTACACGATTTTGATTCATAAACTCATTCAGAAAACCTCGAAATGCATTAACACATAGTGTCACTGGAAAATCATCTTGAATTTTCTCATTTCCACATACAGTCTCAATAACCTAAACATTATCCAACATAAATTTGTGTATTCAAACTAAAAATATTAATAATTTACATGTAAAAAGTTCGCAATTAAATCTTTGTATTTAATATTGAGTACTTGGCCATTCCCTTGCTTGTTAGCCACACTGTAAGTTGCTAATAGGTTTTCTTTAAATTCACGTAAAGCTTGTTTAAATATTCTATCAACTTGAGATGGTTTTTTAACTTCTTCGCGCTCAATTTTGTATAACTAAAAAATATTAATTAGTTTTATAATTACTAAATAAAAAATTATAACGAATTTTACATTTTTTAAGAAAACTCAAATCAAATAAATAACAATACATTTAAAAGTAGATCAATATTATTACAATATACATACATATATAGTGATGTAAATTTGTATAATAATAATAATAATAATAATAAAAATAACGAATAATATTGTATTATACACGCAGTATAAAATTATTTTATATAACGGTGTTAAATTTTGATTCATTTTTTTTTATTTATTTATCAATGTTTAAATATTTTATACTACTATTATTTTTTAATATTTTATATTAATGTGTAGATGTAATGTCGTATTGAAGAACAAAAACAGAACTGTAACTGTCAGACCTACGAAAGTATTTTGATTCACGTTTATTCAAATTAATTATTTTTTTTAATTATTAATTTTTACTTATTTACTTCATAAGATCATTCATTGTTACTCTTTATTTTAATTTTTAATAATAAAATTCAGTATTTTCAAATGGAAAATGGATATTAGTTGAGTTAATCAAGTCGAAGTTTTGTAAGCAATTTCAAATTTATCTTAATCTAGGATTTTGATTTTTATACGTATAAAATATGTATAGTAAGTTGTAATAGTTTTACAGGCATTTTATAGTTTATATGAAATAATATGTAATGACTCAGTAGGCATATTAATAATAATAACATATTATATAACTCTACCCAATTATAAAAAAAATTGAATTTTTCAATTTTATAAAAAAAAAAATATAACATAGTAAATCGCGTGGCCTAAAGTTGTAGGTATACCACTTGTAATATAGTTGATATGTTTCGTTACATATCAACATTACAATGCTCATAACGGTCACGCACGATGGTACTGATTACACAGTAGTAAAGATAAACAACAGCTACTATAAAGTACAAGACACTACAAGTTTTTATAAATAATAAAATTGTCAATATTTATAGCTGGCCTATAATTGTAGACCAAGCGCTTAACGAAGGGCTAAGAATCCAAAGAATAGATAAGAAAATGAAATATACAAAAATATTGTTCAGTATAAAGAAATAAGTATCAAAATTAACTACAGAGCAAAATAATATAGGAAAATTAATTTAAAAATTATTTTATATTGAATTACATAAAAAAATTTAAAAATCGGAAAAAGTGATGATATGCAGTATGATTAACATATTAGAATCTTTTTTAACATTGCTTTTGAAAATAAGTCAGAGAGGGCAATTGAATACCTAAACACACAAATGGAGATGGGAAAATATTATTTAAAAATTTTGGGAAACATTTTTTAAAATTTAGTAAAGAATATAAATATCTTCAAAAAATTAACTTTAAAAAACATTGTGGCATTTCAAAGAAGAATTCAGAGCAAAAATAGTAGTACCCTTAAAATAAAACGCAATTTTTCTTTTATAAATTATTACAGTTTTACGTTTATATTACGTGGTATATTTATTAGCAAGGTGGGTATTTGTATATATGATATGATATATATGATATGTGTGTGTGGGTGTGTGTACGTTACGGTGAATGACGAAAAATAATAATTTAATTCATTCACTGGTAAATATAGTTGATATCCACTTTTAGTTTGTATGAGTAAATTTTTACGTCAACTACCGATAAAAAATTAAACAAATGGTTATTGTTGTATTTATATCATATATTATTAACAACTTATTTTCACATATAAATGAACCATAACATTTTGAATTACAAAGTTTGCCTAAAGAACGACAAGCACATTTATTATTTTTTACATTTAGTTTTGCAGTGACATCAATGATACTATTGAGTGCACAAAATACTGCTCAAATCAGCTGCTTCTCGAAGAGTAAGCTCTTTTTCTTTGATGAATTTAGGTATATCAAGAAGTAATGATTATTAGATATCTTATGCAAAGCATAATTATAGATATTATAAATCTACCTAATGTAAAACTTTACAGCAGAAACACATATAAGTTGTGTTATAGTCGAATTTTATTATATACAACATTTACCAATTTGTTTAGTGAATATCGAAAATCTCTATTTTGTATTTAAATTTACGATAATTTCCGGTTAATGACATAATTTTCATGTTTTACATTATTTACCGTTACAGTAGTGTTCGGGAAAAACATTCAAAGTCAAAAAATTTATAATTAACAATTATATATTTTATTAAAATATATAAATATTTTCTTAAAAAATAATAATAAAAATTATTATTTTTTAAAGTTTATGCAAAATATAACCATTAAATTTTAATTTTAGAATTCTGAAAATTCAAAATTTTTAACTAAGCAAGTTTTTCTGATTAATAAAGATACAGTAATATAAATAAATAAATTGATTCTTAGCAAAAATTAGATTTTTTTATAAAATTATTGATTTTTATATACAAAAAAGAAATGTCCTAGATTTTAACTTTGAACAACAAACATTTAATAATTTAATAACATCGACAGGAATATTTGATTAAAATCAATAATTGAAGAAAAAATACACGCAACACCTAAAACCTCTGTATATTCGTATTATTTTATATTTTATATCAATATTGTATAGTAAAATATACATATATAATGCATATAGTATATACACGAATAATAATAACCCTTTTTATCAATATTGAGTAAAAACTTATAACTATAAAACACAAGGATTATAATAAACCATCTACTATTGGGAAAATGGTTCAAACAGAAACAGTTACTTATTAAATATTTTATTAAATAAAACAAAATATAAATTTATATATATAATTTTAAATTTATATAAAATGTTTTCCTAATTTTAGTTTTACATATTAAGTTATGCTTACAAGAGATAGTGACAAAATTAACTAAATTAAAACCAATTTGATTACTCTAAATATATTTTGATAAAAATAATTTTCAATATTATTGATTTTTGATCGATTTTTAGTATAAGATTAAAGATTATAAAAGGCATAATAAGCAAAATGGTTAACAAAACAAATAGGCTAATTACAAGTTTGAGTTGCCAAAACATCATAGCACCCTCAGAGATTTGTTCAAAGGGGAAGAGAGGGTAAAATTCCCTTTTTTATTTCAACCAGGTCATGGTTCTATAAGCTCTAGAATGTTTTCTTATAATATTTAATGGAGTGCTTAAAGAAGAAAAATAGTAATTTTTAGCACGTAGCGTCAAAATAATATGCCACCCCTAGAATATAGGGCCTCAAGAATCACAGATCCTTCATTTACTGTAACTCTTGCTTCCACTTGAACCGGTGGCGTTGAACTACTTTTTAGTAAGAGATAAAAACATATATTTTAACCACCTACCTATATGTATCATGTATTAAGTAGGTACCTTATTACCTAATAGTTACTGGCTAATAAGTGTCAGTTTTTTCAAAATTAGGTAGACCCAGTATCCACTCTCCTAATTTTAGGTGGTGCAAATGCACCAATTTAAGTACATATTCGATACCATTGACTTGAACCAAAATGTAAGTACATTTTATACCTATTACTTAATGCTCAACAAGTCTTTTTCTTGCACTCATCACCTTCGTTAGTCTTTTATAATTTAAAATTCATATTATCTAGTTTCCAATTTAACAAAAACCTTTTCTTTCTTTTATGGGATATTCTTATCCTGATTTACAACTTCTTTCAAGTTTCGCAATACAATAGATTATGTACCTATTTAAGTAAATCGACTTTCTTTATTACGTAAAAATATTATACGAAAATGATTTAAGTTATGCAACATATATTTTAGAGCTAGATTATAACCTAACCTCGATTATACTCGTATTTAATGATACTGCAGAAGATCTTATTTGATTGGTATATATAGTAAATAGAAGATAAAATCAGAGATGCATTCGAATTTAAATAATACAAGCATTTCATTTTCAATGTTAATTTATTTCAAACAATAATTTTATGTTATAATTATATATATATTATATATTATATAATCAGTATATACTAAAAAAAATAAAGCTTAAATTAGAATAGTTTTTTTGAATTCAGTAGTTTATAAAACCGTTTAAAATAATAAATTTACTTTTTATTAATTTCTTGTGTTCCTATTAATTTAGTTTACATTTACAAAACTTAATGGACAATTTGATAAATATTCACAAAAAAATTAACAAGAATTATTAAAATTGGCGAAAAAGTAATAGATAATAATAATAGGAATCTAAAAACATAAAATATGTGCCAATCAGTCCAGAGGTCAACCAACTTATGAAATTTACCAAAAAACATTTTTCAAACTATATATTCCTAATAAATAAAAAAAAAAAAACTCCAATTTCCTTTCCCATAGACATTATAATATAATGTATATTATACTATTTATCAACATCAAATAAAACATTTTTTTTTATTTAATTAGTTACGATAATTATTTTTATTCATGAACGATTATAGTCTAAATGAATTTGAAAAGTTAACTTGTAACAAATCAATAATTCGAAAGATCATTTTTAAATTAAAAATATAGAACGTCGAACAATGGAAGGGGAAGTTGTATGTAGGTCGATACTAGTTGGTAAAAAGAGGTGGTAAAAGCGTACAATATTCAACAACCAGAAAAAACTAATTCTCATTCGAGGTTTGCATGCAGACGTAGTTATACTATATACTTATAATATTAACAGTATTACAATTTATTAAAAAATAAGTATCAACATTTTAAGTTAGATGTCAGATTCGACTACAATGGGACTATTTATGATGTCCAATCCAGTGTTTGAATGCTATGCATTTTACAGTAGCATTCTAATACTAAAAATGATTATGATGTCTTTTCTTACAGTTCATCAGAGGTTCAGAAAAAAAGTAAGATACAATATCATGTGACATTACTTTATATTAAAAATTATAAGTATTTGTTTTATTTTATGAGAACAATAAAAAAAAAAAAATTACGTAGCATATAACTCTAAAAATTAATTTACAACTAAATTTAAGTTAATTTTAATTTAATTTGAATTTTAAAAATGTTCAAATGGTATATATCCTATTATCTTAAGATTTGTTTTAATATAATTTATAAATGTTGCTATTTAACTTGAAATTTTAAAAAATAAATTAAATTAAATAAAAATATCTCAACTATTTTTATTTTTTTATTTTCGTTTTAAATTGGACTGCATTTTAAAAGCCAACAATTTGTTAGAATTGGTTTTTCTTTTCTAATTTAATTTTATAAAATATGATATTATAAAAGCTTTTACATTGTAAGACATTCACCCAAGTGGGCGTATCCAAGTTGGGTCCGACTATAAAAACCAAAACATACTTGTTCGGTCCGACCACTACGAAAATAAAACCTATCTGTAACTTATAAATATTGATACACTTGATAATGTTAAAAAATTAATAGATTTGAGTATGTAAAAAACTCTATCATTTAAATTTTTACCAATTGTGTACATTTTTAATTTTTTTAATAATTTAATTTATTTATTTATCATATACTAGTATTCTAATTTTCAATTAATAATTATATACTATATATAAGAAACTAAAAAAAAAAAAAAAATCATACTCGTGTTCTAATTTATAGGTAACTGACAGTCCTAAGTCTGTAAAAATGAAACGGGATAGTCGAATTGCACTTGGATTGATAAAAGGTTATGGTCGAACTGCACTCGTTCAAAAAAAAGAGTTAAATTGGAAAACGATTTAAAAATATTAGTAATATTTCTGTTGAAGAACGCTACGGCGTACTTATTTAATGGCATTATATGTTAGTTCTTACCAATTAGATAACGCAGATAATATTATTGTCGCCAATATGTTTAAAATAATTATTGAAAAGTGCAATGAATTTGGTTTAATATTTATGCTAAATTTATTTTTAGCAGATTTTGAACAAGCAATCTATAATGCGATCAATGAAATGTTTCCTTTATGTAAAATAATAGGTTGTAAATTCCATTTATCACAATAATGATATCGTAAAATACAAAATTTAGAACTTTCAACTGATAACAAATCTAAAACAGAAATTGGAAATTGCTTCGTAATATATTTGGTTTATGTTTTTTAAATGCAGTTGAAGTTGGCGAATATTATACAGATGATTTTATGTCAATTATCCCAGAAAATCACACTGTTTAAGAATTTAGTGACTATTTAGTTGATAATTATATTTCTGACGAAGGACTTTTTCCGCCTCATATTTGGGCTTCAGATAAGATTTCTAGTCAAAGAACTATTAATGCATGCGAAGTTTAATAAATCATTTTCATCACCACATCCAAATATATTTGTATTTATTGATGTTTTAACACAATTACAATTCAACACCTATATTTTAAGGCAGAACACTGGCACAAGACCATCAATAACACGGTACCAGAAAAAAAAAATAATATTCAAAAATATATTGACTTAGGTTATTAACCTAACCTATATACTTAGAAGCGTATTACCAGGGAAGAATTTTTGAATACAGTTAGTCATTACTATAAAAAATGATCGAAATGACAAAAAAAGAATTATAATAATGACGATAGTTAAATCTGATGATTAAAAAAAAAATGTATAGTATAATGTATAATATAACAATTATAATGTAAATATATATAATTAACATAGTGTGATGTATAAAACAATTAATTTTAACCACGCCAATGATTACTAAATGATACTAAATGTAACTAAATAAAATATATCTAACCCCTTCAAATGCATGATCATTTTATTGAAATACTTTTTTAAGCCCAAGTGCAGTTTGACCATTACCTGTTTTTTACCCGAGTGCAGTTTGACCATTACCTTTTTTAAACCCAAGTTCAATTCGACTAAAATAAATGCAATTAGTTTTATAAATGCTTCTTTTCACATACTTTCTTTGTTTTTATTCCATTGCTTCTACATTTGATATACGTTTCTGATTGAATTTCTACTTATACATCAATAAAATTATAGATATTAGGATGATTAGAATAGAATGATGAATTTAAGTATGAATGAAAACTTTCACAGCCGTTAGTGGTTCAGTTACAGCTAGCAGAAAACTGTACCCAAATATTTGGAGGAAACATAGTTGGTAAATTGTAAACCCAATCATCTATATCGGGCAGTATTGCTTAAAAGGCAACTGCAAAACAATCAATGACGTTGTCAAAATCCAAAAATGGCAAACCAAAAAAAAAATTTTAAATAATAACTTTCATCTGTATTTGTGTTATACATTTTCGTGAGTCCTAAACTTTGAATTTTCCTCCACCAACTTTGTCCTAAATGAAATCGACATCCTCTTATTTTTGCATTAGGGAAGACTTCTGCTACAGCACTGAGGATAGCTTATTCAAAATCTATAACAACTTTAGTAGGAGAGCACGTTAGACCAATGGACATGGAATGGCGAATTAACCCCAGGCCGCAATTAACTTGGTGATAAAATATGACCGGGACGCAATTCACCGGTCTCCAATACGTTAATGACACGTCGGGCCGCAATTCACCTATAGCCACAAGAATAGTACTTGTAAAATTGTGCGACCCAACTAAGTGTACTACCTGAAAGATACTGGGACCCAATTAGTGAACGCCGACCAAAGCAACCTTACTTAACCTAAATCTTACGCCATCATAGAATTAATGAATTATCATAGAATAAATGAAAAATGCAAACATTTGAATGCTAATAGCCAAAACAGAATATTTAATTTGTTTCAGTAGGATGAATCAATAGTGCATAAAATACTATTATTTAATTATTTAATAAATCTTAACACATGTATAATAAAGATCAATAGATCTATTCGAGATATTATAAATAGATAATAAATAAGATTTTTGCAATTAAGTTATTCTAAACATGATTTGACTCTAAATTTCAATAATTTAAATATCTTTAAATTTGATCTAAATATGTATAGTTTATAAGGAAAATTTAAATTAATAATTATACAAATCAAACCAATAATATAATTCACAATAATTTTAGTTAAGTACATAGCTGAAGGGTATTGCAAACGGACTGTTTTTAAAGAGTTCAGTATAGGCAATAATATTAGTGAATGGAGGTGAGCATTATGTGTGCGTACTAAATTATTAGTGTTGGTGAGGAGGACCAGCGACAAGGATTAAATTAAATTACGAAATAATTTCAGATTATACCTAATCGTCATCAATCAAAGATACAGGTCTATTCAGCGATAGTAACAAATTCTTTGGTGTATACATAAAAATATAAAATATAAACTATACTCGTTTTTTATTATGTAGATAGATATAAAATTAATATTATGTACCGAGGTAATAGCAGAAGCTGGAAAATAAATTATAATAAAAAAAAACCATCTTTATTAGAAGAGAAAATTAAATTTTAAATAACTGCGGATTAATTAATTTTGGCAAAACAAAAAACTTTGAAAACTGTAATTCCATTTTGTTTTCTCAGAATATATCATCCTGCAGGCCAGACGGTCATATGTGGTCAGGGGTGATTCGTCCTGAGCATAGATTTGCATAGGGAGCCCGGTATATGAACACATAAAGTGAATAAAAAAGAAACAAAAATACATGGTTTTATACAAACTGGGCACATATCTTTTAAATTTTATAGATTTCATGTAGATATCTGTAAAAATTATTTAAAATGTAATTTATTATAGAGTAGGCAATTTTGTTTCACACATTCCTATAGTGACTTACCGTGTTTTTATGCAATTTTTTTTCGTAAGGGTAAAATATACCTTATCTTTTTCTTATTATTTCCCAAACTATTATCCATAAAGTTATTATTAAAAATATTTTAATTAATTTTTAAACAATAAAATTGTTAAAAACTGTAGTTAGTTAGTGTATAGAATATAAATATATAGAATAATATACTACTGCCAGCCGTTCATAGGTGCAACTAGGGTTTTATTTTTGATGGATATTCTTTTTTAGTATTACTGGTAAATAACTCTCACTTTTCAATTTTTATCTTTATCTATTATTTGAAGGAAGGATAAATAAATATTTAAGGAGGCTAAGCCCTTCTATCCCCCAACTAATTGTGCCTATGCAGCTGTAAGAGATAAGAGTAAAATTTCAAATTGAAAATTTTTTATAAAATATAATACAAGATATATATATTTTACGATAATAGTACGAATACCGGTGAAACATAGGATATACATTATTGCATGATCAAACACCGAATGATTTTAGAAGTTCGGACTTTTACCAACGAGTTTTAGTAAATCTTAGGATTAATAATCAATGATTATAAAAGTCCGAAATTATATATTTTTTCAAATTCTATGATAATTCTTACTTGTATTTATTCTTGTGCATTTGTGTTGATATCAATAGTTTTAATTTAATTTTTGATTATGATACGAATTATAATAAAAGTTTTAATCATTGTTTCTTCAATGATTATGATTTGGAACAGATTTAATAGAAGATTAATTTAATAAATTGATATCGGGGCCAATTACAGGAAGTAATTTTACAAGCAGTATTCATTTTACAACTGTCGCAATTAGTATTACGAGTATACACAGTATTCAATATGTCGCTTACAATATAATTTTATGAAATTTTAAATGGTGTTGTGGAGTTAAAAAATAACAAAAATAATTTTTATTTAACTGAAGAAAAATATATATCTTTAAGAGAAGTTAAAGTAACTAAATCTGTTAATGTGAAAAAAAACAGTTTATTATCGGCGACTTGAACGGTTTGATATTGTTAATATTACTGGTGAAAAAAAACTGATTTTTCTGATGAATGATGACTTCGAAGTAATGCATTATTATGTTCGGTATAATGAGTTATATTATGCTCATATTGCAACAAGCCATGCAGGTAGAAACCGTACTATGTATGAAGTTAATAGCATATACAAACATTTTAACATTGAGTCAATTTATAAGGATAGAATTATCACAGAATTGGAAAAATATATAATTTCGGACTTTTACAATCATTGATTGTTAATCCTAAGATTTACAAAAACTCGTTGGTAAAAGCCCGAACTCCTAAAATCATTCGGGGTTTGACCAAGTAATAATGTATATCCTAGGTTTTACCGGTACTCCTACTATTACCATAACATATATATATATATATATATATATATATATATATATAACTCGCATATAGACGCCATGACTGCGATTAATTCATGGAACTTGTTTTTGTTGTACGACTATTTTGGGGTACAATATAAAAATTATATAATACTAACTGATGAGGCGCTTCTGCACGCGGCACGTGCACATACAAGTCATCGCCGCAATATCGCACAAGAATAAAATAAAACTATCAACAATACATGAATCCAGTGTCGTAAAAACCGGGAGTGCAAAAGATGCATTTCACACAGACCCCGAGCCTCGAACTAAGTATTATGGAACTTCAAGAGGTCAAATACTCAAAAACGTTTGATGATTAGGGGTCTCATGGTTTTGATTCATACACGGGTTTCGGTGGTCTAGTTACGGCACTACATGTATCATTTGTATGTACTTTTTGTCAATCCCACTGATCAACCTAATAAAGCGATAAGATTTATAAAAAGTGAATTCGTAATTTTGTCTTCATGAGATCGATCAGACCACATTTCAAGTTTTTAATTTCAATTTTAAATAATTAACATTTAAAATTTTTGAATTTTTACAACATTCAAATCTAAATGTGTAGGATTTACCATATAGATCAAAATTTGGAAAATTGGACTAAAAATCTCAAGAACACAAAATAAAAAATTTAGAACAATTTTCAAGTCTTATCGCATTTTCTGTCGATTAATATAATTGAGAAAAGATAGGTATGTTTTGGTTGAAATAATGGACCGTTTGCAATTCCCTTAAAAGTGTAAACTATTATTTAATTTACTGGCCAATTATTTTTGTAATAATAGGTTTTTATAAGCCCAGAAGATACTGCAATTAGCAAAGGAGGTGGTGAAGTTAAATATGATGATCCTGATATTGAAAGAGTAAGAAGGTAAAGTCATAAAACAATGTATATTACTAACTATTACAAGTATATGTAAATTTAATAATATTAATGTTTTTTTTTTTCAGAGCGCATTTAAACGACTTGGAAAATATACCTATATTTTTGATCACTGGATTTCTTTTAGTAGCCAGTAATCCTCCAGAAATGTTAGCAAATAATTTATTTAGAATTTATACCTTGATAAGAATAATGCATACACTTTCTTATGCAGTGTTTGTACTACCACAACCCACAAGAGCAGTCTGTTTTATTTCAGGTGTAATCATAAACATTATTATGATAGTATATGTTATTTTAAATATGCATCATTTTTAAATTATATACTTATGAATAAATGATTATGTTTTTTGCACAAACTAAAATGTTTTATATTATTAATTAATTACTCATATAATTTTCTTAAATATATTAATTTGGTATTTTTTATTTTAAATATGTTATTTTCCGTTTTAATTGAAATATAGTGTTGCTCTAGTATATCTAAGGTTTAATTCATTACTAATTTATAAATAAATTAATATACTTCAATTTTATAATAATTAAACAATACAATTGTCATTTTTAATAGAATTTATTATTGCACAATTATAAAATAGGAAAAAACTAATAAATTCAAAAAAATTTATCATTTTCATTCATTTGAAAATAAATCAGAAAATTATACTTCATGGGTACTAGTATGACAACTTGACATAAAAAATATACTACCTATCTATACATTCATTACCAGTATCTGAGAAATGAAATTACTGAGGATAAATTGGTATTTAACAATTTTAAAAGTTAAATTTTAGTTATTAATTAATAAGATAATAATAATTTAAGAATAACAATTATGAACTTACCTTTTTGGTTATGAAATCTTGCATCATTTTCAGTTCACGTACATCAGATATAATCTTGTCGGTACGATCAGTGAATTCTGATGTACCAGTTAAACTGAATTTTCCTATTGTAGAGTTGTTTTGATTATTTGCTAGGTTTGGTGTTATATGAGCTTTATTTCCAGCAGATGCAGGTTTTCTATGTTTCCGCCGATTAGTTGGTCGATTACCTCCATTTTGTTGTATACATGGCATTTGAAGTACACCACCATTTTGAATGCATTTAGTATGAAATAATTTTTTACAATCTACAATATGAAATAATACATTATTATTATATATCTTTATGAATAGCTACATATTTTATTTTTTTTTTATCTCTAGAAATTTTAAACATTTTTTAAATAAATTTTATAGTTAAAATGTATTATAACTGACTGTTTATTATAAATTATGTATATCAAACTATAAAAATCATATTTAAATTAAAAACATAGATAAAATACATCTTATAAAAACAAAATTTACCTTTTTTAATTCAAATGACTAAGAACCTACAGAATAATTCTATAAAATAAACATATTTACCTGAACATTTGTGCCCTTGAGTTAAGAATGCATCCATTAATTTATTACAGTAAGTACATTTATCTTGGGGAGTAAATCGTCCTAATTTCCTAAAACGGTGTCCAGCTATTGTAAACATGGTTGTGCCTTTCCATTCCAAAAGTTCGTAAGATGGTGAATATGTCAATTTAGGTTCTTCTATTTTTTCTGTGTGTGTAGTTGAACCATCACTATTTCTTCTTTTTAATTCATTATCATTTAAAATGGAAGATCTGTTAAAAAGACATAAATATATATATGTATATATTATGGTGGCCCTCAGTTATAATAAAAAAAAAATTATATTTTTGATTTTTCACTCCCTCATATATCTATTATTTTACGTGGAAAATTATAGAGTATCAAATATTTAATTTATTTAAAGTTTTTAATATTTCACGGATTTTCAAATATATCAGAATAACAATTGAAGCGCTCGGCCGAACAACGGGACAAGCGCCACTGAGTGCATTTTACAATAGACGCGTTTAAAATATTACGGACCATTTCTGTCCATGTTGGTTGAACATTGCACGTAGCTCGTTGTTCCATCCGTCTTCTCTTAATCAACTTACCTTAATGTAATAATATTCATTGAGTCTACTAATCGGACAAAATATAATAATAAATGATAAATGCAATAATGCCGAGACTGGCGCTTGTCCCGTTGTTCGGCCGAGCGCTTCAATTGATGATATGACAAAATATCCAATGTAAAAATGATAAAAAATTAAATTTTCTAAAAAAAATTTAAGTATAAATCGTATTGTATATAATTTTAATACAAGTATATAAATTAACTTAATAATTTCAATAATGGTTAACTTTAGATGCCCTTAGTTACCGAGGTGTGGCAATTAATTACAAGAATTTATTTCTAATTTAATTACTAATATCTAACTAATATCTTGAAAATTTGTTAAAGTAAATTTCACAAGCTTATACCTAAGTCTGCCAAGTTTGATAGTGATCGGTGTTAGATTTTATGCTTTGCGATTTTTAAAAGTTAGTGTAGTGTCATGACGTACAAAAATGTATGACATGAAAATTTTTTTTCGACAATTGATTTGCGAGGCCTTCCTTGAACAAATTTAGAGTAAAGGGCGTGACTGAATAAATTTGATTATCATGGCAGATGAAAGCAGGTTATATCAATATGACCTGAAACTCGTTAAAAGAGCAAACAGTGGGTTGGAAAGAGGGAGAGCATCCCACAAAAGTCTGGATGTTTCAAAACCAAATTAAGACAATGCTCATCTGTTTCTTCAATATTTAAGATATTGTGCATCAAGAATTTCTTCCTAATGGTCAAACAGTAACTTAGGTAGTTTACATTGAAGTTTGTAAGTGATTGTGCCATAGAATGTCTCTTGTGAGGCCGGAATTATCTAAAAATGGTTGGATCCTTCACTATGACAATGTGCCTGCTCACACATCAACAGTTTTTAACCAGTAGGAACATAAAAACACTACCCCATCACCCCTACAGCCCTGAAATGGCTCCACTAAACTTATGAATATTTCCAAAGTCGAAGGAACAAATGAAAGGACATGGCTATGGGGATTTGGAGAACATTCAACGTGCTGTAACATTAGTGTTGAAGAATTTAACTTCTAGAGACTTCCAGGGGTGCTTCCAGGAATGGGAAGAATGTTAGACCAAGTGTGTTAGACTCAGAGAAGAATGCTGTGAAGGCATAAGTGCATAAATCATATAGATACTAAATAAATGTTTTAAAATTAAATATTCTTGTTATTAAATTGCCACACTTCATAAGGGAGGGAAAGAAGTTAAATATTTTTAATTTCTCACACCTCTAGTTTTTACATTTTTATTATTTTATTGAATCATTATGTGAAAAGGGTTAGTAATCATGATCTAATGCAACTCAAATTTCTATCTTATAATAATGAACAATATGTGAGGGTGAGAAATCAAAAATATTAATTTTTTTTATGTATTTTTTAATATATGTAAATATGTTTAAAAAAAATAAAACATACACGGAATTAAAATCTTGATAGTAAAAATAAATGGACATTAACTAACTTAAAACTTAATAAAAATATATTACATTGGTTTGATTATAAAAACTTAAGTACTTTTTATTTTTGTAATAATTGTGATTAAACAACTAAATTCAAATAATTATTCTTACTCAGGTGCTGGTTCAGTATTAGACACACGCAAACGATTCAATAATCGTAAAGGAGCTATTGGTTCAGAAGTGACATGTGGAGTTCTAGTTAGTAAAGTTCGTTTGTTAGATGAGTCACTAGTTCGCTCTCTTCGTCTCCAAACAACTGGTGGTTTCATATGAGTGTCATCTAACTCACTATCACTAAATGCAGTTCCTTCAAGAGTTGGTCCATCAGTTTTAACAGAACATTCTAGTTTAGAAATGAAAAATTGAATTCATTTAAATTGTTTTTGATTTAACTAAAGTATTTAGTTGAAAATAAGCTGTTTATAACTACACCGTCTTATATGACATTGCTGTAAACATGACTAACATAATCCCAGTTAACTTCAGTTAGTTTGATAAATTGGATATAACGTCAATTTATAATAATCTGAACAATAATTTTAAACACAACTTCTGTATACTGATTTATTAAATAAAAAAAAAATTAAAAAATTTAAAAAAATTGGAGACATTTTATTTGTGTAAAAATGGGAATGGTAGCTGTAAAGATGAATTAATATACATATAATTTTAATATTTATATAACGAGAGGATAAATCTATTAGGTATAAATATATTTAATTATCTTTATTCATATAAAATTATTTGTATGAATATGAAAAATTTACAGTGATAATTTAAAGAAAAACTGAAAATCTAAATTTTTATTTGTCAAATATATTTTGCGACATTTAACAATAATTGTTTGTACATTTAATTTTCCAACGATAAAATAAAATATTCCAATATACTTTTTTAAGGAAGTAGAACAGCTCAACAATGGTTGTTTGATAAATAATATGATAAGATAACTACCTTCATCAGCTAAAATATTAATGTAAATTATAAAATTATTAGTTAAAACTAATACCTTTGAGTACATCAGTTGGATTGGATTCTATTCTTAAACGGCGAGCTGAAACTTTCCTTTTAGGGACTTTAAATTTATCATCTCTACATAAATAAAAAAGAATAAGTTATTAATAACAAAAAAGGACAAAAATATTGACATCATTATACTTAATGTTATTGGTTGTTTTAGATTGTATGAATGGGTCAGCCTCCGATTCACTGTCTCCTTTTGTACCTCCACTACTTCTATGAATGAAATAATTATACATTTTAATATTTAAAAAGGGTACTATATAATTATTATGTAATAATCATTATTAATTACTCAGAGTCATGCAATTCCTCTTGACTAGATTCTTTGGAATTGGTAATTTGTGGTGCTGATATACTCTTTCTCTGAAAATATTATAGTTGTTAGTTATAGTTGTATTCAATCGTAAAATTTTTATAGAAATAATTACAGTATTTTTTAGTTTTGTAAATTTTTGCCGTGCTAAATAACCTCGAGAATGAGCTTGTAGTGTAATAACGCTTTGTCGTAAATTCTTATACCAACTTGATACTCTGTGTTTCCGCCATACCGATTGTATATAAACAGCAGCTGATTCATCCATTCTCATTTTGTTAACTAATCTTTGAGCTAAAATCATTCTCCACCAAGACTACAATAAAATAATCCATTTATTACAAATAAAACAATAAAAAAAAATAAATAATAAAATCAATACTTGTAATGTTTCTGTAGCCCACGTAATCCTGAGAAACTGTCTCCTTTGTAATAATGTCCGAAACCAACGTTGTATAGTTACAATACTTGCCATTATTTGTTGGTGAAGTCTATAGTCTAGTTTTGATTTTTCACATTCACGTAAAAATACCTTGGACTCACCAATTTGATAATTTTCTCGATCTAAATTTAATGTTTGCAAAAAGTTTCGTACATCCTGAGGATTACTGTAACAAGTAATAATTTATTTAATAAAAACTTGATACAATATTAATATTATTTAATAAATATCAACCTATTTAGTCCTTTGGGTAATAATATTCGATAAAGTTGTACAAATTCTTCATAACTAAGTCGTACATTATACCCAGCTTGACGAATTCTAACAGTTTCTAACATTCCTGTATATCGTAATTGTCTTTGAACCGTATCATGATCAAACATATTTGCAACCTTAGTATGAATATTAAATTTATGTATAAAATACTTCTTCAAGAAATTAAAAACAAAAAAAACTTACTTTATTACTATTGCTTTTAATACATCGAATAAAAAATGGATTAGCTTGATTAAGAGTTTCCATAAGACTATTTAAAGACATTTGGAATTGAGCAGTAACAGTAAGTGGCTGTTTACGTGCTTTACTGCTAATTGAACCCTGTATTTGTATTCGTCCAGCAAGTGTTTTTACACTTTGAAGATTTTTTAACCCTTTATTACCACGATCTTTTGGTCTAAAAGATTTATTTTTCCTATAACATAAAATAGTTATATCAACATATGTTATAATATAAAAAGTAATTTTTACATTATGAGTGTAAAAAATTAAATACTTATTCCAACTAATTAAATCATTAATAATTTGAAGGAAAAAAAAGCGCAAGACTAATGAATACTTTGAAGGCTTTAAAATGAATGTTAGTAGAGGAAATAATAATTAAATTAAGATTAACTGTTTTAAATTATATCTTACATTTGTAGTTTAAGTTTTGACCATGAGCTTACAATTTTAATTAATATTTTAATAAAATGTTATACTATCAACAAAAACTTATAAAAAGAAGAATTTTGTAAATATAAATTAAAAAAAATATTAATAATCATAATTATAATTTTGAGGTATAATAAATTAATTTTATCAAATCAAAACTTTTATTGATTTTAACTGATAAAAAAATATGCAAACCATGCACATGCTAAGTTAATAAAAATATCATAAACCATGCTTAATAATATCTTTATGTTTTAAGTGAAGAAGATATATTAAAAAAATATATTTACTAAATTAATAGTAATTAGTATTATATTGAACATTTATTATTTTATAAAATAATTTAATATTATATTATACAGTAATATTTAAGTATTATTGTTTATTTATTGCACAGTGAAAATCAAATTTTTTTTCCCATTTCTATAGTATTAAAAATTTCCGAAACCATCCGAACACCAATGTCTTATCATGTTTAAAAGTTAGAAACATACATAACAATTTGCGTAGCTCGTTCAATGACTTTATCTTCATCAGCAGATTTGCAATCAGAGAGAGTTTTTAAATCTTCTTTATTAATATTTTTATTAGAATTAAAAGTTTCTAAGTTGGTTAATTTATTGAAAACCGATTGATTTTTATATGTATTTTGTTCGTTGTTTGGGATAGATGATAATTTTTTGCCCACATTAAGAACATATCCACCTCCATAAGATGTGGAAGTTTTAGGAAATTTTGAAGTGTACCTGGAAATATTATGTTAAATAACAAAATACTAATTTGATTTGTATAAATCATCATGACAAAAAATATTAATAAAAAAATTACAATACAGAACTAAATAATAAAAATGTATAATACATTTATTTGTGATTTAAATCGAAATTTAAAAATAAACAATATTTTATTCAAAATTAATACGTAAAAATAAAAATAAAACAAATTCAATAACAAAATTATAACTTCTTACTATGTTCATTCATAGTATTATAATTAAACTTACACTATACGATTAATGGTGAGATTTACCGAAGACATTGTAACCAGATGGCTGAATGCAGCAAAAAAATTAAATTAATATACATTAATTGATAATTTAATATATATTAAGTGTTTAAAAATATAAGAACGATAAATTTATATAATTTCATGTCATAAATTTTAATCATATTGTAATATTTAAAATATACCATTTTTTTTTTAAATCAAATTTTTATCAAATGATTAATATACATACTTACAAACACACACATACACACACAAACATATATATTTGATTATATTATTACAAATTTTATATCTGGTTTTAAGTTGATTGCGTTGATTTAAAGTATTTATAATATTCTATTTAAATTTTATTATTATAGGAATATTATTATTAATATTTTATTTGGGTACAAACTGAATATATTGCATACATATACATACATACTAGCAAATATATATAAACTAGTAATGAAATATTGCCAAATTAGAAAAAGCAAAAGTTTAAATTTCAAAAATATTTAATATTCTAGTTTTTAGAAAAAATCTCATTATTATCTGAAAATTCCTTCAGTCAGGAGACATAATATAAAAATTTAATTAAATACATTCATTAAAATCTATTAGAGAACATCTGACAGTTAAATCAAGCACTAATACTTAGTTAGTAGCCAAGTAAAATTTAAATATTAATACTTTCGCTCTAATAAAATTTAAATAGATTATTATTAATGCTTTAAATTGATTCAATCAGCTTAAAATAAAATGTTAATTTTGTAATAATATGACTAAGTATATAATTTTTGATATCATATTTATGCTTATGCCTATTCAGAGTTGATTTAATAATAATTATATTATTAAAATAAAATAATTACCTGATTAAACTATCATTTTGTAAGCTGTTTCGAAAACGTAAAGAAATACTAGATGCTTTTACACCATCAACTAGAATTTAATATTATAATTAATATTATTTTATAATATTTGATATAATACTCTAATAAAAATGTTACCTCGGCTTTGTCTATGTCTACGACCAGCTTCTTGAAATGAAAAATAACCCCTAAAAAATGCTCTTACAATAGCCCAACGAAACACAGCAACAGGATCTGCACCAACAAGTTCTCGAACAAATGCCATGCTACTGTTTTTTAACACGCCAACAATATCTTGCCGCATAAGATCTAAATTTTTTTCTCTCATTTCAAAAACCTTTAATAAATAAAAAATGCATGAGTTTATCATTTAAAAATTCTTCTATAAATTATGATTGTACCTCCTCGATGAACTAATCAAGAATAAAAAAGTATATTTAGGTAGTTTTACCCTCCCTCATACTTTAAACTTTAACTTCCAACATAATATTTAGAAAAATAGAATAATAACGGAGAAAAAAAAATTATACAAATTAAAACTGAAATATGAAAACATTTTTACTTTTGTTTTTTAATTGAATGATTTCATTGTAAATTAAAATATTTTATATAATCCCTAAAAGTTAATGTTATAAATAATATATGTTGTAAAATTTAGTTAAAAATGTATACATTTTTTTTTTTTTTTTTTTAAAAACAGTACATTATTAAGTATAAAACTAAAAATTAATAATTTCAAGCATTCATAAATTTTAATTACAACTTTACTACGAATGACAATTTTTATGCACAGATAATCCTAACTGTAAATTTTAATTAATACCTAAACCTAATTATTATACTTTATTTTCCATAGAATTAAATATATTAAAATTTATACAAATAAAAAACAATATATATTACTTGATATTTAACTCTTCCAGCATAATGTTTAACAATAAAAGCATTTTCTTTACGTTGTGGCATTTCATAAAACTTATTTTCCTTATGAACAGAATTAAATTTTTGTAAAAGTGTATCTGAAGATGAGCCAGGAAAACTGAAAATTTTTTTTTTTTTTAATAATATAAAACTAAATAAAATGTAAGTATATTAACTAATGAAATTGAAATTATAATTATTACAACTACTAACTTGCATTGATCATCTAAAACACACAACAAACCATTAGGTTTGCCTTCAATCATCTGCAAACATCCAGTATTATCAAGAAAGTCTATATCACTCCACTTAATTCCTTCTTTACGATATTCTTCTTGTTCATATTTAAACACATGTTGATTGAAATAATACTGAAGATGTTCATTTGCATAATTAATGCAAAATTGTTCAAAACTAAAGAAACATTATATTAATCATTAAATATCTTAACTCTTCAATAAATCTTTAATTTACCTATTGGAAGCCCCAAAATCTTCAAATCCAAATATATCTAACACTCCGATTGAATTTCCTTGGTGATCTCTTAAAGTATCTTTTTTAGAAAGTAAAGCATGGTTTACTTGTAGTACAATCCAATCAAATAAAGCTCCATATAGACATTTTGCCATCGCATCTCTAGCTGCTACAGCCTATAATGATATTAAAATAAAATAATTGTTATAAAATAATATAAATAATAAAAATATGAAATTACCTCTGGTAATTTGTAATTAATAACTAATGTTTCCCCAGATGCTTTAGCACGTTTTGCAGTTAAAGCAGCTAAAAGAGTTTCTTGTTTTACTCTAAGAAGTTGTGATATTAAAAAAACTATTTCAGGGTTACGTACAGCAACCGCTTCGTCATGATGGTATGCAGATTTTCGAGGTTGAAAATCAACATTACCTAAAATATGAAAGAAATAAAGTTAATAAAATAACGGTTAAAATAATTAGTAGTATTGACCTAATAATAAAACTGCTGAAAGAACTGCAAATAATCTACGTTGTTTCTCTGGGGTAAAACCAACCATTTCCATAGATTGTTTTAACCTAGAGAATTCATACTTTTCATCTAAATTCCTTAAAGTATAACAGCCACTCTAAAATTTATAAATATACAAAAAATTAATATAACAAAACATTTTTTTTTTTTTTTTCATTAAAAATCATTTAACTGTACTTACTCCATTCAAATAATTATAATATTCTACACGATGTAAATGTAGTGATTCTTTCTCCAAATCACTTGCTCCGTTTAAAAGATAATAAAACACATGATAATTACGTTCATTTTGTCCTTGAGAACAAATTCTGGATTTTTCTAAAAGATATTTTTGAACAACCGCACTAAAAACAAAAAGTGTTTAATATTTATGAAATATTTTTTATAATACATGTTAAATTATAACTTATTTAATATGTATCTTGAATTATTCGATTACAAAAATAATTTATTAAATTAAGGGCCATTCAAGATTGATATATTTCAGTGGTTGGAGGCATAATATAAAAAAATATTTTTTTAAAAAGATTAAAGATCATTGGTACTTAAAAATAATTATAAGTTAAAAAATAATTTCACATAGATGCTTGCAGCAGTAAAAAATCTTAACACCAATGAAATAACTAACTTTTATACTTAATACTGATTGATAACTAATAATATATTTCAACTAGAATAAGATTTTGAGAACACTCATGGGTAAAAAGATTATATTAATACTACTATCTAATTACTTATTATATCCAAAATAGCAGGATTCTAAATGTATCAAAAACCAATCTGTCAGGTATCTAACCTAGTCTTATCTTATTCTGGCAGCAATGTAGATGCTAATAATTATAACTAGACATTTATAATCTAGAACAATTGTAATATAATGGTTACAACACAATGTTTCCAGACCAAAAACAAATAAGTGAATAACTGATATCGAATAATAGAACAATCTAATAATCTAACAAAAATATTTTTAATGAAATCTATACAAGTTAAATTATTTCATAACAAATAAAATGTATAATTGTATAAAAAATAAAAAAATAAATTATGTATTATCCTTTTCCCTTAGTATGGCCCTGATTAGAAAATAAATAAATATAATTTAAACATTTAAATATATAATTTTAAATATAATTATAAAATACTTACCCATGTACCATCCCATTTTCTTTATAATTAACTTGAATAAATTTACCAAACCTACTAGAGTTATTATTATGGGCAGTCTTCGCATTACCAAATGCCTAGAAAATAAAACATTTATTTAAATATTACTAAACAATTTTAAAAAGAAATTTATTACTAAACAAAACAAACTTACTTCTAATACTGGACCAGCACTAAGTATAGTTTGTTCTACTCCACTACCATGACTACCTTTTTGACTTAGAGCAGTAAGATGATGTAAAAGAAAATTAGTAGATTCTGTTTTGCCACTACCACTTTCTCCACTTATCACTATGCATTGATTACGTCTTTCCCTTAGCATACAATGATATGCAGCGTCAGCAATGGCAAATATATGAGGAGGCAGCTCTGTACCAAGCCTTTGGTTTTGATAAAGTTTAACATACTTTGGATTATAAATGGGATGGAACTAATAAAATAAATAAATGCACAAATATTTTAAATATTTTTATTCGTTTAATAGATAAATCTTATGAAGAATTTATTAATTATATAATTTTTTTGTAAATTAAAAGAGGGTTTAAATAAATCTTCTCAATACATACCTTAAAAGGATTAACTGCAATTAAAATAGAACCAACATATGTATAAATATGCCCAGCCAAAAATCTAGCTCTGAGATTGTCTAAAAGTGTTTGTTCATTGAGATCAGGAAGTTGACAAAGGTCTGGATACTCTCGATCTTGGGGTTGATACAGAAATCTATAGAAATAGTCCCTTATAAGTTGTGGGTCCATAGTAAAACCATCAGACCATAAACTATCAGATAGTTTTTCTCTTAAATAAAATCTGAAAAATATAGTAATTGAATGTAATTAAATATATAGAACAGTAATTACTTTATATATACCTATAATATTCTTCTTGTTGAGTATGCCTACGAGGTTGAGGCCATAAAAGCATGACAGCTACAGGACATTCTGTAGGACCAAGTCTGCGTTCTTTACATTCTCGACCAAGAGCATCACCAACCACCTCAGCGAGTTCAAATCCACCACTATAACTGTTTCCACAACCTCCTGATAAAGAAAGTCTTTCGACTATACAGCTGACAATCTCATCAGAAGTAGTTTGTTTGCTAGCTTCTACACTAAGTGCTTCGTAGCATTGTGATAAAGCTCCCACAAATACTTGCACTATATACCTTTGGTTGCCTTCACCCATGACATTTAAAGTTCATGCTCTATCAATAATGTGGCATCGCTTTTCTATAAAAAAATAAAATAATTATTTAGATCCATAAAAAAAAAAAATTAAAAATCAGATCAAAAACTATTTAACAAAACTAACACTTAATAAATAGTTAACACTTTACAATATTATATATAATGATAATTTACAAATACTAAAAAACAGCTAACTAATTTTAAGTATATAATCCAAATAATAGAATGAATTTGCTCAAGGTTATATTAATTATTACATTTAAGAACAATGCAAAAATATGAATATCTCTATTAAATATTTAAAAAAAAAAATATTTTTCATAGGTATTCAACAGAGTATTATTTAAAATAAATGCATTAGTAAATTGGCTTAAATTGATTATGCAGTATGTTTGACAAGTTACTGGTTTTTTTTTTAAGTTGGCTATTATTGGATTATGATATTTTGCATTTCTATCTAAATATTTATGAAGACTTGTATTAATATCATAAGGAATATTTCTTAAACATAAACCTACATACACGTTTTTGTTAAATTTCTAAATATTAGAATTTGTAATACTTAGAGCAAATAATACTTTGAATATTACTTATTCAAAAAATATTTATTAATGTCAAAATAATTTAGAAAAATTAATCAACTTTATAACAAAAGTTACCTACTTAGTGTTTAACTATGTGTTTATATGTCTATTGTATAATATAAATTACTAAGATCTATGACAGCTTCCAGTTACACGGTTTAATATGATTGACATAATAAGCTTTCACAATAAATATGAAAATGTTATAATCGGAACTGTAAACGTTAAAATGAATAGTTGTTTGGTAAAACATAACAATAATAGATTTTAAGAACTTAAGAAAATGTACATTATTATTTTCAATACATAAGTATATAATGTGCTAACAAATATATATTGATTTAAAAGGAAAATAATAGTTATAGGCCATACTAGCAAACAACCGAGTACCGTATACGTCATTTATTCAATGATCGTTAGCTACAAGCAAAAGCTGAGTTAAGATTGATTAATGATAAGACAATAGTTTTGATATTAACCGAGCATATTGATTGAAAAATTTAACTTGTTGACATAATGACACTATGATATACACTAACACTCGATGTAAAATTCACACGAGGCAACAAGCCTCTGAATACGAAAGTAAATAAATTTCGCGAACTATTTACTAACAGAAACAAATGATAATGATATAAATTTACTCACTTGTTGGCGTTTTTCATGTATTATATATATATATATATATATATAAATATAAGAGTGCGAGTACGTGTGTGTGTATGTGTGTGTGTGTGTGTGCTACATCGTTTCAAAATGATAATAACAAATATATATCACATAGCAACATAGTGCTTAACATCTCCGGCGAATACTTCCCGCGATTCGCTCACTGAGGTGTACACGACGGATCGCATGAGATGCGATGAGTCGTTGGTCGGTTATGCGTGGGCCACAATTATTCATCCGGTAGTCATTTATCAGACATGGTGCATTTACAGAGATGTCGTTGGGACCGTTTTCTAGTGGACAAACGAAAAGCGTAACGACGGGGAAACAGAAATTAACATTAATTCAAAAACGTGATGCGCATGCGCGAACGCACGGAGCAGTGGATTTCGTGATACGCGTCAATTAATCGGAGTGCGCGTGCGCCGGGATTTTTCCCACGATCCGGGAATTTTTCATTCTGAAAACGTGTACACCCCTTTCCTGTTGTTTCACGATAGTACGTTTAGTGGAACTCCAAGGTCTAATATCATGTTCCACGGCATCTGCACACTTTTATTAACATTTCTTGTTTTCTCAATACTTTTTTATTATTTTTTTATCGAATTGTATATTGGAATTATTAAGAAATCGTTGTTGGTATTTATAATTATTACCACGTATTTAAAGTAAGTTCAATGAAAAATTAAGTGATTATGTAAAGTTCGTCAGCCAATAGGTTTTCCGTCAAAATGTTTTCACATCTTGGATCATATATTTCCACATTATTTCTCACATTAAAATTGAATGTAATTATTTATAATAATCTTTTGATATTAATGTCTTTTGGGCTTTTGATTTCTCACAAACATGTTCTTTAAAAATGTTTGTAGTACTTAAATTTATTTGATTTTTAATATTCACTGTAGACACTGAAATATAATTAAAAGAATTATTGATTCTTGACAGCTAACAAGAACTAGTTATTTTTTTATATTATAATTTATTTAATGTTTTCTTCGTCGTTTATTGTTTTTAAAAGTTATAAATTTAATTAATTTACTATCGTAAAACTAACAATCTATTCTCAAGTAATAATTTATTCGAATTGCAACATGACTCCCGTGTAAAAATATTTTACATTTTAAATTGTGAAATATTAAATGTATAAAAAAAAAATATTGGGCTGATAGTTTAATAGTTGCAATTATATTCTTATGGTACCCAGAGGTGCCTTAAGGATAATTAACAGAGTGCCAAAGTAATAGAGAATATAATCAAAAAATTGGCGACAACAATTAAATGGCTTCAACTACTTTTTGTCGCCAATTTTTTATAATTAATTCTAATAAACTTTATAATAAACATTTATTTTTACAAATTTTTGAAAATGTTGGAGGATATAAATGCATTCCCTTTACAACACCCATGATGGTACCAGTAGTCAAGATGTACACATTTTTTTTTATTTTTGTGAAGAGGTGTATAGTTATTCATTTTCAAACTTGTATAATCTATATCCCAATTATTATGTTCTTTTACTTTATTTTATAAAAACATAATTTATAATTTTCTTGAATTTCGAGGGGATTTTAAACCCTAAAACCTTCCTTATGTTCGCGCCTGCATATAATATATATTAATACATATATTTTAAATTATGATAACCACAATAGTGTATCAATATTTTCCTACTTAGCTATATTATATATTTATGCACCTGTATATTACAGTATTATACTCTACCTAAACTTCAATACCTATGAATAAATAATTAGAGGTTCAATATTTAATTTGAATTCCCCTTGTGGAAGAGGATTAAAATATTTCCATGGTTCCTCAGCCGGTCGTAAATGGCGACTATAAGTTTGCGTCAAGTGAAGAGCCGGTGTAAACATTTTGTCAGAGTATGAGAAGTTCAAAACAAAACTTGGGTGAATTGTCCCATCTCGGATGTGCGCGGGACGACAAGTGAAAGAAGATATCATAGTTAGAGGTAGAGGAAGGCTAGATAATGAAGTGTATGATATCAGCCAGACAACCAGTGATAGCTGGTTCGCCAGTTATGTATTCAGATCTACTCAACACGGGTAATGTCAACGGTGTAGGAACATCACCATTGTGCACCGGGTTCAATCTGCGTCTAGGTTATGAGAGATAGGTATAAAATGAAAATAGACCCGTGGAATGTTGGAACGTTAATAGGCAAAAGTAAAGAATTAGCGGACGTATTGAAGTGGAGGATAATAAATATTTGTCGTCTTCAGGAAACTAAGTGGAAAATGAAGATACTGTGATTGGTGGTGATGTGGATATGCAGGTAATGAGAGAGTAGAGTATGAAAGAGTACATGGAGGATATGGATTTGGCAAGAGGAATGAGATTGGAGAAAAAGTTTTGGATTTTGCATCATCTTATGTGCTTGTAATAAACAATACATACGAGGTTTGTTCAATAAATACCCAGACTAAAATTATTAAAAATTATATTTCAAACTTACAAATTATTTAAATGGATCACCTTCAAAATAGTGTCCTTTAGCTTCAATACAGTGCTCCCAACGATCTTGCCACTTTTTGAAACACTTTTGAATTTCTTCTATAGTTATAGCATTTAGTTCTTGTGTCGCGTTATGAATAGTTTTGTTAACGTCTTCAAATCTGTGGCCTTTGAGGGTACTTTTTAGTCTCGGAAACAAAAAAAAAATCACAGGGAGCTAAGTCAGGTGTATATAGTAGGTGAGGTACCACTGGAATATTTTTAGATGTCAAAAATTCACGTACGGAAAGTGCAGAATGCGCCGGTGCATTTTCATGGTGCAAAAACCACGGCTTTGATTTCCACGCTTCTGGTCTTTTACGGCGTACTTTCTCTCTTAATCTTTCTAGTACTCGTTTATAGAACACTTGATTTACTGTCTGACCTGTATGTACAAACTCATAATGGACTAAACTATAAAAATCAAAAAAAACAATGAGCATTGCTTTGATGTTTGACCGGACCTGACGACATTTTTTTGGACGAGGCGAATTTGCAGTCTTCCATTGCGATGATTGGAATTTGGTTTCAAGATCATATCCATACACCCATGTTTCATCGCCCGTAATTATTGATTTTATAAAACTTAGGTCATTAGAAACCCGATTTATTAGATCCAAGCACACTTCAACACGATGTTCCATTTGCTCCTCGGTTAACAATTTTGGCACTAATTTTGCGGACACTCTTTTCATACCCAATTCATCTGATAAAATCGAATGACAAGTACCAATTGATATGCCAACTTCATTGGCTAATTCTCTGACAGTTAATTTTCGGTCGTATATAATTTTGTCTCGAACTAAAGTAATGGTATCAATTGTTTTTGATGTTGATGGACGCCCAGGACGACGGTCATCTTCAATGGATATACGACCTTCTTTAAATCGTTTGAACCAGTTAAAAGTAACACAACGGCTTAGTGCATCATCTCCAAAAGCCAATTTTATAAATTCAAAAGTTTCCGTCGCATTTTTCCCAATTTTGAAACAAAATTTATTACACACGCGTTGCTCCGAAATATTATCCATCGTGAAATCGCGATTTTATACAAAACGACCAACTTTGAACGCGCACTGTCGATGACTGATTTGAGATAATGATTATTATATACTGAAATAATGGTCATTATCTCTAGTTTATTTTGTTGTAACAACATTATCGATAACATTAAATATTTTTCTGCAATAATTTTAGTCTGGGTATTTATTAAACACACCTCGTATGTTAGAAAACGACAAGAGTATTACATAACATATAATAATCGATGAATAAGACGCATATTGATTATTTTATGTGGAATAAAGGTAGTGTAAAATGAGTAAAATATTGTCAAGTAATTCCCGGAGTGAGTGTAATAAAACAACATAGGTTGATGTAATGGTGATATGGTGTAATGGAAAAAAGGTGAATATAATAAGTAAAAAAAGGAATTGAGAATTCGGTGGTGCAAATGTATAGGAAACAAAGAAAATGAGTTTATAAAGAAAGTAAAAGAAAAAGGAGTGTGGAATGTTGAGGAAAATATAAATGATGTTTGGAAAAGAGAATAGCAAGTTATGTTAAGAATATAGCAAATGAGGTTGTCAGTGATACCAAGAGTGGTATGCCAGAAAATAAGGAAACGTAGTGGTGGAATGAGGAGATTTGGAGAGTAATAGCAAATAAGAAAAAGCAATTTAAGTTATAGCAGAAAAGCAGGAAGAGAGAAGATAAGATAGACTATATAAATGTAGATATCGTCGTCCGCGGGAATAAATCTCCTATGTGAAAAATTACCAAATTGAGGTTTTGGCATCACTAAATTCAGAAAAAAATTATCTTGAATATGAATAAAACTCATATGTACTATCTTATTTCTATGTTTAATTAAATATAAATTAAATAATCTCCCTTGTGTAGGGCTAATCATAAACGTTTCTGGAATACCTCCAATGTAAATATTTAAGCTTCTATGTGTATGACGTTTTTAGAAAAATTTATAAATACGTTCTATGTGAATAAAAAAATGAACGGCAATCACATTGGATACAATCCTAACTTCGAGGTATTGTCATTTATGTATAGGTTAGTGTCGTGGGGCGATAGATAGATAAATAACTGTTTTGTCTCTACTGAAAAGTAGCGTTTTATCACATAGGAGATTTATTCCTCCAGACGACGATATATTAAATACCGAAGAGTGTGGTGAGCAAAGCGAAGCTTAATATATACGATATGAGAGGCTAGAAACACGGGAAAGAGAAAAATAAATTTATTGACTGCAGGGACCAGAAGCGTAACCGAAAAGAACTGGTACTGGAATCGGTTAACCTCAGTGGCGTAGCCAGGATTTTTAAATGTGGGGGGGGGGCTAACCACTTTTTTTGGATAAGTAAGGTAAGAGAGGATATGAGAATTCACCCTTAACCCCCCACCATCTACCACCAAGTTTCTAAACGTAATTCAAGCATTTTAGTATAGTTTTAAAAATATTTATTAATATATCTATATCTATACTACTATATAAAATGAAGTCGCTTTTTTTTTTGTTCGGGATAAACTCTGAAACTACGTCGTGCAGTTTTTTTTTAAAAAAAAAGAGGACATTACAGAGAAGGATTTAGGCGTAAATTTAGTCCGATAAAGTTAATAAATAATTAGTTATTAGTTATCTATATATATAAATGGAGCCAAAAATGTATAACATTTCATCAATTGAGAACGGCTGAGCCGATTTAGCTCAAATTTTTTTTAATTGTTTGTAATTGCCAGGAGAAGGTTTTTACGAAAAAATTTTTTGGAAAAGTGCTATTGTTTAATAAATCATAGTTTAATTTAATAATTTTTAACCCAGTTGATAACTGCACAATTGAAAATGAATTATTAAATAAAACTATTAAAAAACTATAAAAAAACTATTTAAAAACTATTAATTTTATTTTTGGTAGTAAATGACGGGTATTGCATAAATATTAAACAAATAAAGATCCCGTAACAGGTGTCAAAACAAATAAGAATGTTAGTTCGAAAAATTATTATGCATATCGGTTGATGATTAAACGCGATCAGGACAAAATTATTCTACGATATTATGAGCTTGTCATTTGCAATGACTATCAATAAGTTTCAAAGCCAAACAATGTCTGTAGCTTAGATTTGAGCACATCATATTTTTCACACGGATAATTGGTACGTGGTGTGCTCTCGAGCCATCCAGTTTGTGTTGGCGAAAGATGGGATAACAAAAAATATTGTACACTCTGTTGCATTATGGGATAGATATTTTTTTTTACTAATATTGTCATAATTAGCGATATATATATAATTTTAATAGATCAATTTCAATAAATTATTAAAAAAATAAATGATGTTTTTTCATTTTTATATTTCGTCACCATTCATAGCACTCCATATCTCTTCCTTACATCCTTATCCTTACCCACATTCTTACATGCCTATATTTAATTAGTTATTTTTTTCTAGCAAAATATTCTCTAGAAATAATTTATATGATAAAACAACGTTTGTCGGGTAAGCTAGTAATTTATAATAATAATAATTTTGGTTTCAGTGTTCAGTCACTTGCTCCACTCTGACAGCTGCATTCTCTTAGACGAATTTCTGGCAAATTCAGTTATTGTTTTACTTTCATCGAATTGCTCTTTTTTATTTATATTATCCATAACTAACCCATTCAGTCTGTTTTCCGACATGGTGCTTTTTAAAAAAAATTTTAAGCGATTAAGTGTTGAAAACGTTCTTTCCGGAGTGAAAGAGGTAACTGGTAACGTGGCGAATAATTGTAAAAGTATTTTAATGTTAGGTCGAAGATTGGTGCGATGAGAGAGTGAATCAAGAGCAGAATTCGGTTTTGGAATAGTATTTTGACTCCATTGTTGCCTCCATATGAACAGGTCAGCTCTGATTGTAGATGAGGTATCATCATGAAGATCTTGGGCATATATTTTAGCAGCTTTTATAATATTTTTATCGTCATATATATTTAAATTGGCCGGAATAAGTCCTTCAAGTGGCATAACATCAATATGCCTATGATTAAAACGAGCGTTGATTCTATTAAATAGTCAAGATACATTATACATATAAACACGGCCCATGGGGGAGGCTATAGCCCCCTTAGCCCCCCCTTGGCTACGCCACTGGTTAACCTTTAAAATTTAGGAACCGGAACTGAAAACGGAACCTTTAATTCCAAAAATGAAAAACCGCAACCTTAAAAAAGGGTTAATTTAGGTCAGTTATTTAGACTAGTAAAACTATGGAAATGACTATTTTGTTTGTCCATTTATCGGTTCAGAAAAATAAAAGTCAAATCTTTTTATGTTTTTATTATTTTGTGTTGTAAACTGTCATAGTGTAATGCATATAATAATTTAATTTGTTATATTATTATTATAATTTTTGTATGTTTATTAATATACTACAATTTACAATGAGTATATCATCTATCTTTTCTATAAAGTGTTAAATATAATTAATGTTTATACAAATTTGTAGCTACAATAGTAGCTAGTATTAACTTTGATTCCTAATTAAAATAAAATTTTAAATTAAAGATATTTATTTAATCAAATCATAATAATTCACAATATTACAAAATATTTTACAAATTCTTACTATGAGTTGAAATAAAATAACTTAACCTAACTTATAGAAATATAATAGGTTGATATAATATATATATTATATATACTTATATATATTATATATAAGTATATATATTTATTTAATATATTTATAATTATTTTTTTAATTATTCATAATACTTTCTATTTTCATGAAATGAAACAATTACAATTTAAACAATAATAAATAAATAATTTTATATAATTTTTTAATAAATCTCTAATAATCAGAATTAACCGAAATTAACCGATTCTAGAACCCTTACTCTTTTAAAAAAACCGAAACCGGAACCAAAAAAACCTGTAGGTTCCAATCCCTGGTTGACTGGCTAAGGTTAAATAAAAACGATCCAGAGGCTTTCAAAATAATTGGTGTTTGAGGATAAGAGAGTGTTAACAAATAATGGAAATTTGAAAAAGAGAATAAAATAACATTTAGAAAAATTACTGAACGAGAAGTATACAAAAGGTTAGGTGAAAGGAATTACTGTGAAAGGAGGTCCCAAAAATATATATAAATTTGATTCAAAATATATATGAAAGCTCGAAAACTTGTGTAAAGAGTTTGTGTAGAATAACAGATAATTTTAACATAGATGTTGGTGTGCATCAGGACTCGGCTCTAAGCTCTTATTTGTTTTCTGTGGTAATGGATGAAGTCACTAAAGACATATAGGGCGAGGTACCATGGTGTATGATGTTTGCTGATGATATAGTTTTGATTAAATAAAGTTTTGATTGATAGGAGAAAATATGAAAGAAGTTAATAATAGGTAATAACCTATAATAAAATTAATATTTTTACCCACCTTCATATATATCTTATAAATTATTTGTGCACCACCTTATGTGAACTTCACGAGCCAGCACTGCATGAAAAGCACTAATTTTAAAATTATATATTTTAATTTCACATTCAGGGCCTGATTAAGGAATTTGTCGTTATTAAACTCAGGTTGTTTGGGCACCCCTACCATGTATTCGAAAAGGAAAGATTCCGGGAGGAGGCCTATAAACATATAAACATCAGACTTTTAGTATTTAGAATAAAAAATATTTCATAATCAATAGAATATAATAAAAAGAAATAAACATCTTCAAATTTATGAATTGTAAAATACGTAAAAAAGAATTATCTTGATTTTGACGAATATTTTTTAAACAATTCATTGTAATTGGGTCAAAACATATATAAAAAATTTTACTTTCTTGATTGCGAGGAAACAAATACTCCACTATTTAATCGAAAGAACTATTTTTCATTAACTCAATTTCCAAGTACCTACACGACAGGGGCGTCGTTTTAACTTTTGGAAGGGTGGGGCAACTGATTAAATTTGTCGACTTCATAATATTTAAAAAATTATGATTACCTATATAATTAAATATTTAATATTTATGGACCATAGACTATAAATAAGAT